TGTCGTTGGTATTTTGATGGGGATTGCATTGAATCTATAGATTGCTTTGGGTAGTATGGACATTTTAATTATGTTAATTCTTCCAATCCATGAACAGGGTATGTTCTTCCACTTTTTTATATCTTCCTCTATTTCTTTTTTCAATGACCTGTAGTTTTCTGCAAATAGGTCTTTTACTTCTTTGGTTAAGTTTATTCCTAGGTATCGTAATTTTTTTGGAGCGATGGTAAATGGGATTCTTTTTTCAGTTTCTCTTTCTGTGAGTTCATCATTGATGTACAAGAATGCCGTCGATTTCTTGACGTTAATTTTGTATCCTGCTACTTTGCCAAATTCAATTATTAAGTCTAATAGATTTTTGATGGAGTCTTTAGGGTTTTCTATGTACAATATCATGTCATCTGCAAATAATGACAGTTTCACTTCCTCCTTTCCAATTTGGATCCCTTTTATTTTTTCTTCATGTCTGATTGCTGTGGCTAAGACTTCCAGTACAATGTTAAATAAGAGTGGCGAAAGTGGACATCCCTGTCTTGTTCCTGTTCTTAATGGAAATGTTTTTAGTTTCTGTCCATTGAGTATGATGTTGGCTGTAGGTCTTTCATATATGGCCTTTATTATGTTGAGATATGATCCCTCTATTCCTACATTGCTGAGCGTTTTTATCAGAAATGGATGCTGGATTTTGTCGAATGCTTTTTCAGCATCTATTGATATGATCATGTGGTTTTTATTCTTCATTTTGTTTATGTGGTGTATCACGTTTATTGATTTGCGAATATTGTACCAGCCTTGCATCCCTGGAATGAATCCCACTTGGTCATGGTGAATAATTTTTTTGATGTATTTCTGGATCCGATTTGCTAGTATTTTGTTCAGGATTTTGGCGTCTATGTTCATCAGGGATATTGGCCTGTAGTTTTCTTTCTTCGTAGTGTCTATTTCTGGTTTTGGAATTAGAATTATGCTGGCCTCATAGAACGTGTTTGGAAGTCTTCCTTCTTCTTGAATTTTTTGAAATAGTTTGAGGAGAATGGGTGTTAGTTCTTTTTTGAATGTTCGGTAAAACTCCCCCGTGAAACCATCTGGGCCTGGGCTTTTGTTTGCTGGGAGAGTCTTGATTACCTCTTCAATTTCCTTAGTTGTTATTGGTCTGTTCAAGTTTTCTATCTCTTCCGGGAATAGTTTTGGGAGAGTGTGTGTTTCTAGAAATTTGTCCATTTCGCTGAGATTGTCGAATTTGTTGCCATATAGTTGTTCATAGTAGTTGTTAACGATCTTTTGTATTTCCGTGGTGTTGGTTGTTACTTCTCCTCTTTCATTTCTGATTTTGTGTATTTGGGTTCTCTCTCTTTGTTTCTTGGTGAGTCTAGCTAAGGGTCCATCTATCTTGTTTATCTTTTCGAAAAACCAGCTCTTTGTTTCATTGATCCTTTGAATTGTTTTTTTGGTCTCTATGTCATTTATTTCTGCTCTGATCTTTACTATTTCCTTCCTTCTACTTGCTCTGGGGTTTTCTTTTTGTTTGCTTTCTAATTCTTTAAGTTGTGAGGTTAGACAGTCAATTAGAAATTTTTCTTGTTTTTTGAGGTAGGCCTGTAGTGCTATGAACTTCCCTCTCAGAACTGCTTTCGCTGCATCCCATAGATTTTGTGTTGTTGTGTGTTCATTTTCATTGGTTTCCAGGAAGTTTTTAATTTCTTCCTTGATCTCCTCGGTGACCCATTCATTGTTTAATAACATGCTATTTAGCCTCCATGTGTTGAAATGTCTTTGCATGTTCTTTGTGCAATTGATTTCTAGTTTCATGCCATTGTGATCTGAGAAGATGCTTGATATGATTTCAATCTTCTTGAACTTGTAGAGATTTAGTTTGTGTCCTATCATGTGGTCTATCTTTGAGAATGTCCCATGTGCACTTGAGAAGAATGTGTATTCTGTAGTTTTGGGGTGTAATTCTCTGTAGATATCTATTAAATCCATTTGGTCTAGTGCTTCATTTAGAGTCTCTGTTTCCTTGCTAATTTTTTGCCTAGAGGATCTATCCAGTGCTGTCAACGGGGTGTTGAAGTCCCCTGCTATGATTGTATTGTTGTCGATTTCTCCTTGGAAGTCCTCCAGAAGATTTTTAATATATTTTGGTGCTCCTATATTGGGTGCATATATGTTTATCAAGGTTATATCTTCCTGTTGGATAGATTCTTTCAATATTATGTAGTGGCCGTCTTTGTCTCTAGTTATGGTCTTCATTTTGAAATCTATTTTATCAGATATGAGAATTGCTACCCCAGCTTTTTTTTGCTTTCCATTTGCTTGGAAAATTTTTTTCCATCCCTTCACTTTCAACCTATGTGAGTCTTTTGTTGAGAGGTGGGTCTCTTGTAAACAACATATAGATGAGTCATGCTTTCTTATCCAATCAGCTACTCTGTGTCTCTTTATGGGAGCATTCAATCCATTTACGTTTAAGGTGATTATTGATATGTACTTATTTATTGCCATTTTTGTTTAGTGTGGTTCTATTTTTCTTCCCATTTCTACTGCTATTTACAGCAGTCCTTTTAGCATTTCTTGCAGTGCTGGTTGGTGCCAATGTATTCCCTTAGCTTTTTTTTGTCTGGGAAGCTCTTTATTTGATCTTCTATTTTGAATGATAGCCTTGCTGGGTAGAGTAGTCTTGGATTCAGATTCTTGTTTTTCATGACTTTGATTACTTCATGCCATTCTCTTCTGGCCTGTAGTGTTTCTTGTGAGAAGTCAGCTGAAAGCCTTATGGGGTTCCCTTTGTAGGTAACCTGTTGCTTATCTCTTGCTGCTTTTAGGATTCTCTCTTTGTCTTTAATTTGTGGCATTTTAATTATTATGTGTCTTGGTGTGGGCCTGTTTGGGTTCTTCTTACTTGGGACTCTCTGTGCTTCTTGAACTTGAATGCCTTCTTCCTTCACCAAATTAGGGAAGTTTTCTCTCACTATTTTTTGAATATATTCTCTATCCCTTGCTCCTTTTCTTCTTCTTCGGGGACTCCTATGATGCGAATATTATTACGTTTCCAGTTGTCCCATAGTTCTCTTAAGCTGTCTTCCTGTTTTTTAATAGTTTTTTCCTTTTGTTTTTCTGATTGGTTGATTTTTTCTACCCTGTCTTCTAATTCACTGATCCGGTCCTCAGCTTCCCCTACTCTGCTTTTTAAACCTTCCAATGTGTTTTTCATTTCGGATATGTCATTTTTTATCTCTTCTTGTTGGTTTTTAATTTCCATTTGGCTTATTTTCAGTGTCTCTATGTCCTTACTCATGCTGTTCAGCTTCCTCAAGATCATGGCTCTGAATTCTAGCTCTGTTAACATGCCTAATTGCTCCACATTGATCTCATCTTCGGTGGAGGTGTCTTGCTCTTTCATTTGGCTTCTGTTTCTGTGTTTCACCATTTTAGCTATCACTGTGGGCTTTGGAGCCTGTCAAGTTCTCCCTGTGGGTGTTGGTGTTCTGCTGTTTGTGGCTCCCTCTCCTGTGTTTAGATGAGCGAGGGAGGACCCGCGTTGAACACCACTGTCAAGTCTTACTTTCCTGGTTAAAGTTGCCAGCCCAGGAAATGTACTGTTATCCTCTAGCTTTTTGCCTGGAGGCTAGCAGTCTAGGTTAATTGATGAGTTTTGGGTTTTCCGTTGATTGAAAAACTCCCTCTGGTGCTCAGCCAAGGGGCTTTCACGAGGGTGGGGCAGATGCTGGTCGTTAGTGAGCCTCAATTAACACTTCAATGGCCCACAGGGTGGGGTTGGATCTCCGAGGGAGGGGCTGCTGCCTCTCCCCAGAGCCCTGGGAAGGAGCAATGTGGCTACCGTCCTGAGTGGCTGCACTCAGCCAAAGCTCTGAGCGCCCTCCAAACCCCGAGTGTCCCGACACAGTTCCAGTCCAGTCTGCCCTCCCTCCGCCGGAGCCCAAGGTGAGTGGCTGTGGCTGTTTCAGCCTCTGTCCCGGCTGCGCTGTGGGGCCGCCTGGGAGTGTAACCCGCGGGCGCCGCTTACAGCTAAGGCTGCTGCCGAGCTGCCGACCGTGGGCTCCCAGCCCCGTCTCGCGCCTTCGCAAGCCTACCGGGATGGAGTCAGTGTCCCTCGTTGTATGGTCCTCGCAAGCTGCTTTTCTGTTGGTTTTTCCCGTCGATTTGTCTGTGTTATAGTTGTAATTCCAGTTTGGTTCTGGGAGACGGTCTGTGTAGCTCCGTTCACTCCGCCGCCATTTTTCCTTCCCAATAAAAACATTTTTTAAAAAAGAAAATAAATCTGAGTTTACTACTGTTTTAGACCTTTTTATTAGAAAACTGGAGATATACTGGTTGGATTTACTGTTCTATATAATTCAATAAAATATTTTAAGATATCAAAATAGGCCTCTTTGCCGCATCTACTGCGAGGATGAAGACCATTCTCAGCAATCAGACTGTCGACATCCCAGAAAATGTCACATCACTCTGAAGGGACACACAGTTATTGTGAAGGGCCCCAGAGGCACCCTGCAGAGGGACTTCCACCACATCAATGTAGAACTCAGTCTCCTTGGAAAGAAAAAGAAGAGGCTCCGGGTTGACAAATGGTGGGGAAATAGAAAGGATCTGGCCACCGTTCGCACTGTCTGCAGCCATGTGCAGAGCATGATCAAGGGTGTTACACTGGGCTTCTGTTACAAGATGAGGTCTGTGTATGCTCACTTCCCCATCAACGTCGTTATTCAGGAGAATGTTCTCTTGGGCTAAAAATACATCCGCAGAGTTTGGATGAGGTCAGGTGTTGCTTGTTCAGTATCTCAAGCCCAGAAAGATGAGTTGATTCTAGAAGGAAATGACATTGAACTTGTATCAAATTCAGCTGCTTTGATTCAGCAAGCCACGACAGTTAAAAACAAGGATATCAGAAAATTTTTGGATGATATTTATGTTTCTGAAAAAGAAACAGTTCAGCAGGCTGATGAATAAGATATGAGTTTTCCAGCTATAGAAACACCAAGATGCCGAATGATTTTCACACTTATTTGTGATATTTTAAAGATGCAATAAAAGCCTCGTATTGAAAAAAAAAAAAAAGATATCAAAATAGTGGGGCTGTTTTGTTTGTTTTAATTATTTTTATTAATTTGTTTTTTGTTATAGATGTTTCTCCTTTTTCCCCCATTGACACCCTCCTCCACATCCCCAGCTTTGTTGTCTATGCCCATTGGTTATGCATACATGCATATAAGTTCAGTGATTTATCTCTCCCCCCTATCACCCTCTCTTCTGAGGTTTGTCAGTCTGTACCCTACCTCTATGTCTCTGGCTCAATTTTGTTCTTCACTTTGTTTAGTTCATTATATTCCACAAATAAGTTAGATCATGTGATATTTGTCTTTCTCTGCTTGGCTTGTTTCACTTAGCATAATATTATCCAGGTCCCTCCATGTCATCGCAAATGATAAGAGATCATTCTTTCTTACAACTGCATCGTATTCCATTGTGTACATGTACCACAGCTTTTTTATCCACTCATCTACTGATGGACACTTGGGTTGTTTCCAGATTGTAGCTATTGTAAATAGTGCTGCTATGAACATAGGGGTACATATATTCTTTTTGATTGGTGTTTCAGGCTTCGTAGGGTATATTCCTAGAAGTGAGATCACTGGGACAAATGGCAGTTCAATTTTTAACTTTTTGAGATAACCCCATAGTTTTTTCAATAGTGGTTGCAGCAGTCTGCATACCCACTGGCAGTGTACTAGAGTCCCCTTTTCTCCACACCCTCGCCAACACTTGTTGTTTGATGATTTGTTGATGGCAACCATTCTGACAGGTGTGAGGTGATACCTCATTGTTGTTTTAATTTGCATCTCTCTGATGATTAGTAATGATGAGCATTTCTTCATATGTCTCTTAGCCATTTGTATGTCCTGTTTGGAGAGGTGTCTATTTAGTTCCTCTGCCCATTTTTTAATTGGGTTCTTTGTCTTCCTTTTGTTGAGTTGTATGAGTACACTATATATTTTGGAAATTAACCCCTTATCTGATATATCATTGGCAATTATGCTCTCCGATATAGTGGGTTTCCTTTCCATTTTGATGATTGCTTCTTTTGCTGTGCAGAAACTTTTTAGTTTGATGTAGTCCCATGTGTTCATTTTCTCCTTTGTTTCTCTTGCCTTAGGTGTTGTATCAGTGAAAATTCTGCTGCGTGTGATGTCTGAAATTTTGTTGCCTACATTTTCTTCTAGAATTTTTGTAGATTCATGAGTTACATTTAAGTCTTTTATCCATTTTGAGTTTATTCTTGTGTATAGTGTATGTTGCTGGTCTAGCTTCATTTATTTGCAAGTAGCTTTCCAATTTTCCCAACACCATTTATTGAAGAGGCTATCTTGACTCCACTGTATGCTCTTTCCACCTTCATCAAATATTAATTGAGCATATTGTCTTGGGTCATTTTCTGGGTTCTCTCAAATTATTGTTTGTATTTTATCTTTTTTTAAAATTTTGTTTAAGGTTGTGGTGAAAATACAGTTTTGTTCATCTATAACTTGATTTAGAGGACAGATGTAATACAAATTACAAATATACATTTTTAGATAATGGAATTCAGAAAATTCATAATATTTCTGAGTTGTATTATTAAGGGCCTATTATTAATAATAAGAATTATTATTATTAGCTATAGTACAAATTCAATTAAAGTATTTTTTTTTAACAGACAAGAAGTAAACATCAAAGCATATGATAATTCCATGCCAAGTAAGAATTTAGTTTTTGGGGTTCAATATCATCTAGATTTTATTTGAAAATAAGTTTATGGATAAATTATTAGTATGTTTCATTCAAAGCAATAAAATATAAAATGTCTTGGACTTTTGTTAAAATTTAAGAGAATCATATATGTGTGTGTATTTATATATTGGTATGTGTATATGTGTAAAATATTTCTGACCTTATGAGTTTGCACACATAATTTTAAAAGGAAATACTTAATTTGTTCTTTCTCATTACAAAAAACAACCTTAATTTCAGAAGGCTCCTTTGTGTTTAAAATCCACAATAACAAAACCAAAAGTAGACAAGGAAAATACAGTTAGAAAGATGAAAGTGGATAATCCATTTATTACACATATACAACTTTAAGAAAGTTCTTAATAAATTGAGTTTAAATCTGTCTGAACTGCTACAATGTTTACCCATTGGTTCTTCAAGAAACGCATAAAGAAGTCTCTAACTTTGTGATTAAGAGAATAGACGCTGGAGCCAAACTGTCTGTTTGAATTTTCTTATACTTTCTGATGTTGAGAAAATAATTTAAGCTCTCTCAGTGCTTTATTTTTCCACATCTATAAAATGGAGGCAATTATAAATTATATTATCTAATTCAAAGTGTTGTTTGAGCCTGGCCAGTGTGGCTCAGTGGTTGAGCATCGACCCATGCACCAAGAGGTTGCAGGTTCGATTCCCGGTCATAGCACATGCCCAGGTTGTAGGCCAAATCCCCAGTGGAGGGCATGCAGGAGGCAGCCAATCAATGTTTCTGTCTCTCTCTCTCCCTTCTGCTCTCTCTAAAATCAATAAAGAAAAAAAAACTTGTAAAAAAAGTGTTGTTTGAGGATTAAATGAGTTATGTATAAAGTGTTCAAAACACTGTCTGGCACAAAGTAAACCCTAGATTAGTGTTAACAGTTGCAGCTATTCTATACATACTATTACTACTATTCTTCCATATAGTATCTCCTTAAATATTTGAATATAGAGATCACATTTTTGGTTAATCTCTCCATCTCCAGGAGAACTGTCCTTTGTTACATTACCAGTTGCTCTTTTGACATAGCTACTAGCTAGTGTGATCCTCCTGATTACTCTGTTCTAGATACCTACAAATTTGTATATGTTCCTTTAATGCATCTTATTAAATTTATTGGGGTAACATTAGTTAATAAAATTATATAGGTTTCAAGTACATAATTCTACAACACATCATCTTTTTATTAGATTGTATCTTCACAAAACAATGTCAAGTCTCCTTCCCTTTTTAAAATAGAGTTCACAGAACTGAATGCAGTATTTTGGCATGTGGTCCTAATTCTTGCATCTTGGAATATCACTGAGGTTAGAGGAATGCTGAGATAAATTAATATATTTAACCAATTGAGATTTTTACTAATTACTTTATGCTCAGTATTGTGCTAGATATTATGGAAATTATACAATAGTCATACTGATTATAATATAATCAAAAGTACATAAAAGAAAGAAACCATGATAGAGACTATGAAGATGTTTAAAAAGAAACAGTAATTTTTTCTCAATTTTCATTCTTACAGTTGATCGTATTATTTTAACTATCATGATTTAAATATCTATCTGTAAAAATGTGTGTTATTTAGAAAATAATATTATATGTGGTGATGAAAGTAGATCTGACTTTAGGTGGTGTGCACACACTGCAATATACAGATGATGTATCATAGAACCGTAAACTTGAAACTTATATAATCTTATTAACCACTGTCATCTCAACAAATTTCATTACATTTTTCAAAATTACAAATGTCATTTTGAAACATAGTTATTGCTAAATGGGGAGATATTCTTTTATGGGACAATCTCATTGAAATTCCTAATTGATAGTCAAAGAAACTACATACTCCAGAAGGAAAAGAGATATTTTGAGTTATAGTTTAGTTTAATTTAAACAATGTATTTCTTACTCATGAATATCTAAGTAGTTATGAAAGTTTGTCTCCTAATAGCAAACTGTCTATTATCTTTTTTTATGTTAGTCAGTGAATCAAACAGAAAATTATGGAATCGCGAATACTTCACCTTGACATTTCCCAAACCACCTCAGCCATGTAGAAAAAAGAGATCAAGAACCTCAGAATTACACATCACAGTTCCTGTAAGTACTGAAAAGGTCATTTAAAAATGAAATCTAAGATTATGTATTAAATAAATATAGATAGATATGTGTAATTTGGATTTTACTAACTATTGGTAGCAGATATTTTAAAATGTATAATTCCCCATAAAACAGGTTTTCCTCACCTGTTTTAGATTAAACTTTTATTTATATGTAGCTCTCCATTTCAAAGGAATTATATAGCTAATAGAATAGGCAAGCTAAAGAACAAAATATTGCAAATGGTGGAATCTCTCAGGAAATTTTTACCAGCTGAAAAAACATAAAGTTTGAAATTTAGAAGAGTGGCTGATCTTGATGAGTTTTCAGAGGCTCTCTATTTTCCTTAATCTGGTGCTAAGGATACTAGATACTAGGAGAATCAAGTTTTATTTACTGATTTTATAAAATGGAGTTATCAACAGCAAAAAGAAAGATTAGTGCTCAGATATCAACCCATGCTGTTATCAAAATATGTTTTAAAAGCATTTCCCAAAGCAGAATTAAATTAGATGCATTTATTCAAGAATTAATCATTATATCCATAGTGATCTAAGTAGATGCTTCTTTTCATGGTCTTTCTTTAATTCTATATGACTTTCATTGACTGGTGATGTCTCTACAGAATAGTTGAATCAATGTAAGAAGCAAGTGTAAAATTAATCTATGTGGCCAGTATGACATTCTGATTTGACAAATGTTTGGATGGAAGACTAAAATAAATTACGCTACTGCTACACAAATTAACATGAATCAAACATTTGTTGTATTTTATCTCCTTGCTTTTGACAATACTATACAACAGGGCTCACAAGCTTTTAATTTGATCAGAGGCATCAAAACAGGAGTACAAATGAGGCTAGGTCTGAAGCCTACAGCTATCACAAGAATTGTCATGGCAATCTTGATGGGCATAAGCTTATTTTTTATCTAACTTGAGGGTGAAGGGTGCACAACATGATAAAAAAAAAATCTCTCCCATATTGTGGTCCAAAATGGATTCACAATCAATTTTATGTACAGGCCCTGAAATATCATGAATTCTTGTGGGTCTGCTTCAATCCCAATATGAATTGATATATGAATAACATTTCTCCTAAAGTAATTTTATTTACAAAGTAGAGTTATCGCACATAAACACACAAGCATACATAGGGTATTGAAAAATAAAAACAAAATCCATTTTAAATGGATGGTTAATAAGAAACTAGACTATTTTCAAGTTTCAATGTATAATTTATGAAATTTTAAATTAAATTTATTGGGGCGACATTGGTTTATAAAATTATATAGGTTTCAAGCTTACAATTCTATGATATATCATCAGTATATTGCATTGTCAAAAATTCTTGTTATCATTCTAACCAAATGTTTAGACATATGACGAAAGAAAATTGGAGGAAGTGCATAAGCCAGCTCATATATGGATAAGGCATTTTTTAAGAAAAATTTCCCAAAGACCATCTAATTACTTCACTGTCAGGAGACAGGCTCCATTTAGACATCCCTGTACTCCTAAAACCCATCTTGATAAGGCAGAATCGAAAGAGTCAGAAAATGACAAAAAGGGAACAAATTTTAAGAAAAATTCCAAGAAAAATACCGGCCCACATGAAACAACTCCAGAATCCAAGGACACGGGAAATGATAAAAAACCTAAAAGAGGAGACAAAGCAGATAAAACTCCATCAAAATCATCACATGAAAGTGAAGTATCTAAGAAATCAAAGTACAAGTCAGAAACAAATCCAAAATCCAAAGATTTTCAGGCAATCTTCTTAATGAAGCATCCATACAAAAGTAGGAGTGATTTCAAAAATTCCAAGGAGACAGACATGGAATCCATATGTACAAAAAAGGATTCTAAGACCTCAAAGAACAATTCTAATACCAAAACTGAAGCTTGCTCAAAAAATTGTTCAAATATGGATTTAGTGATATATTTAGAAGAGACTGGTCCTGAATCCATGGAATTTGATATGTGGTTAAATAATTACTCACAGAATAATTCAAAGAAGCTTCCAAAGAAGGAAGGAAATAAAGGCTCTGATGCTGAGTCTTTAGATTCAAAAGATGCAAAGAAGGATAAAAAAGGTTCAAAGAAGGAAGCAAAGAAAAGCTCTGATGCTGAGTCTTTAGATTCAAAAGATGCAAAGAAGGATAAAAAAGGTTCAAAGAAGGAAGCAAAGAAAAGCTCTGATGCTGAGTCTTTAGATTCAAAAGATGCAAAGAAGGATAAAAAAGGTTCAAAGAAGGAAGCAAAGAAAAGCTCTGATGCTGAGTCTTTAGATTCAAAAGATGCAAAGAACGATAAAAAAGGTTCAAAGAAGGAAGCAAAGAAAAGCTCTGATGCTGAGTCTTTAGATTCAAAAGATGCAAAGAACGATAAAAAAGGTTCAAAGAAAGACAAGAAGAAGAAGGATGCAAAGGACGCAGTGTCTACTGATGTAGAATCTGAGTCTGAATCAGAGCCAAAAAAGGGTAAGAAAGTTTCAAAGAAAGGTAAGAAAGATGACAATAAAAAGGATTCCAAGACGGACGTATTGTCAACTGATGATGATCTTGAATCTGGGGTGATTTCAAAAAATAGTGAAAAAGAGAAAAAGAAAAAGAAGAAAGGTGACAAAAATATGTCTGAAGAGTCTAGTGAAACTGAATCTGATTGGGAGTATAAAAAGGATAAGAAAGGTTTAAAGAACGCCAAGAAAAATTCAATGAAAGAGAACACAAAGAAAAAAATAGAGTCTACTGGTGATGAATCTGATGAGTCTTCCAAAAAAGACATAAAGAAGACCAAAATGAGAAAAAGTTCAGATGCTGAATCGGAAAAAATGAATAAAGCTGGGGCTAAAAAGAAAGATGATGAATCAGATGTAACATCTACAGATTCTAAGAAGGAAGCACTGGAACTGAAAAAAAATGTTAAATTGGCATTCAGAAGGACCACATTCAAAGAAAAAGAAAAAATACCAGTTACAGGTAGAATTCCTCCATCAAGAGAAAGTCCACTACCATCTCCTTGTGAGCCTCTGCAACTATCACCTAAGATCAAACATCGCTGTGTGTGCAAGATTGTTCTTCCACAACCAAAACCAAGATATGCTCCTTTGGTATGTTTACTCCTCTTTTATTTTAGAGATTTGTATTTGAACTGAAAGATATATTAGATATTCAAATTTCTATTTTCTCTAAAGAATAGTCCTCTATTTAAATCTTTATTGTTGAAGGTATTACAGATGTTCTCACTTTTTTCCCCCATTGACCCCCTCCTCCCCGTTCCCACACCCCTCCTGCCTTCACCAAACTACTGTCTGTGTCTATTGATTGTGCATATATGCATATAAGTTCTTTGGTTTATCTCTTCCCACCTCCCACCCCCTGCCTCCCTTCCCTCTGAGGTTTGTCAGTCTGTTCCCTAGTTTCATGTCTCTGGATCTATTTTGATCGACTGCTTATTTTGTTCATAATATTCCATAAATAAGTGAGATCACGTGGCATTTGTCTTTCTCTGACTGGCTTACTTCATTCAGGATAATACTCTCCAAGTCCCTCCATTTTGTCTCAAAGAATAAGAGTCTTTTTTTTTTTAGAGCTGCATAGTATTCCATTGTATAAATGTACTACAGCTTTTTTTTTAAATCGTCACTCAAGGATATTTTTGCATTTATCTTCAGATAGAGTGGGAGGGAGGGAGAGAGAGGGACAGAGAGAGAAACATCAGTGTGAGAGGGACACATCGACTGGTTGCCTCCTGCATGACCCAGACCAGGGCCAGGGATGAACCGCAACTGAGGTGTATGCCCTTGACTGGAATTGAATCCTTGACTCTCTGGTTCGCCAGCCGACGCTGTAATCGGTGAGCCAAACTAGCTAGGGCTGTACCACAGCTTTTTTATCCACTCATCTACTGATGAAAACTTGGGTTGTTTTAAGATCTTAGCTATTGTAAGTAGCACTGCTATGAGAATAGTCCTCTTTTACTGGAATATTGACAAGTTTGGGGCTCTTGGGTAAGAAAAATAAAAAATATGTTTAAATGACTCAAAATACTTGCAAAAGAAATGTCAAAAAGTTAAGAATGTTATATAGGCTTCAGCATAGAGAACTAGCTTGTGCTTTAAGAAAACATTTAAAATTACTTGTAAGGGGAGTCATATTACAAGTGTTTAACTGCTCTATACTTAAGAAAAATCAAACATGAAAATTGACTAAAACTTGTACAGGGGTATATTTAAGTAAGATATAAATACATTTTCTAGGAAGTTGCTGAATATGGTAAAAAACCCAACCAAAATCTAGACAGAGCTGGTTGGAAATATACCAAGATTCAAATAGGCAAAATATTAATTATTTAATCCATCTCTGAGTTAAACTTCTTCATGAGGCATTATTCTTACTGATGATCAGAAAAATGGCTAACTTGCCAGAAGTAACTCTATCTCCTTTGGTTTATAAATGTCTCTTTCAGGTAAACTCAGTTTCTTTGGGGATAAATATGCCATAAATTTAAATTTTCCATTTCTGTCCTCCAGGAGTTCTCCTCTTTCATATTCCTTTATCCAAAATCCAGCAGTAAGGAGAGGTTTAACTAGACATCTCACTTTGGATAGGGTTAGGGGGGCTCCTGCCCCTCTATGTTGTCTTCCCTGTATGGCTTTCTCTGATCTTTGGTTGAGGTGTAGTTCATTTGCATGGTTTCTGTACATCAGCCTATGTTTCTCTGCTTTCTCACAGCGTTTTTTGTCTGTTTTAAGTATGATCGGGCTGTTGCAGTCTGTACAGCTAAAATCAGAGAATCTGTAGATATGACTGGTTCTTGACCTTGAGCTTCTAATATTAATTTCTTCCTCCCCTTTCTCTACTTCTTCCTTGTCCTCCTAGTCGTCTTTTTTCTTCTTTCTGAAAGAGCTTCAGTCTTGTGAGAAACTTCATTTGTTTTTCATACATTTTTCATTTTGGGGAATTTATAAATTTATTTTATCTCTTTCAGAAAGGCTGGATTTTAACTCCATTTTCTCTTACTAGACTCAAAAAGTCAGCTTTGAGACTCAAAGCTGAATTAATAATGCCTTTGTTGAGAGGTCAGTTTTAGAGGTCAAGTCAATGAGGGGGTAGCCATTAGGGCAACAAGAATGAATATATATTGCTGGATAATTTTTAAGGTAATGAGAAAAAAAATAACCTCATATAGCTGGATTATTTTCCACAAGTAGTTTTTATAAAAAGTAAGTAAAATTTAAAAAAACAAGTCAAGGCCAAAGATAAATTTTATTTATGAAACACAACTTCAGGGTATGTTCTGGGCTTGTATACATTCACCACCAAGGCTCTTTAAAAACTTCAATATGCTTAGCTACCACCCAGTCAGGCTATTACATGCCTGCCTCTTCATTGTGGATTTATTCCTGGGCTCTCAATTATTTTCCATTGGTCTGTGTGTCTGTTTTTCTGCCAGTACTATGCTGTTTTGATTATTATTGCTCTATAGTATAATTTGAAGTCAGGTAGTGTGATACCTCCTGTTTTGTTCTTTTTTCTCAGGGTTGCTTTGGCAATTTGGGGTATTTTGTGGTTCCATACAAATCTGATGATTTTTTTTAATGTCATTGAGATTTTGATGTTGATTGCACTAAATCTGTATATCACTTTGGGTAATATGGACATATTAACTATATTGAATCTTCCAATCTATAAACACAGAATATCTTTCCATTTTATTGTGTCTTTTTCTATTTCTTTTAATAGTGCTTTGTAGTTTTCAGTATATAGATCTTTCATATCCTTTGTTTATTCCTAGGTGTTTTATTCTTTTTGTTGCAATTTCAAAAGAAATTGATTTTTTATTTATTTTTCTAAAATTTCATTGTTAGTATTTAGGAACACAATGGATTTTTGTACATTGATTTTTGTATCCTGCAACTTTACTGTCTTTGTTTATTGTTTCTAATAGTTTTTGGTGGTCTTTAGGATTTTCTATATAAAGTATCATTTCAGAAGCAAAAAGTTGCACTTTTACTTTTTTATTCTTAATTTGGATACCTCTCATTTCCTTCTCTTGCCTGATTGTTCTGGCTAGGACTTCCAGTTCTATCTTGAATAAGAGTGGTCAACCTGGTCTTGTTCCTGATTTTAGAGAAAAAAAATTTCAGTTTTTCACCATTGAATATGATATTAGCTGAAGGTTTGTCAAATATGGCCTTTATTATGTTGAAGTACTTTCCTTCTATACCCATTTTATTGAGAGTTTTCATCATAAATGGATGTTGCATTTTATCAAATGTTTTTCCTACATCTATTGATATGATATTATTTATCTTTTGTTATGTTAATGTGGTGTATTATATTGATTAATTTGCGTATGTTGAACCATCCTTGTGCCCTGGAATAAATCCACCTGATTGTGAAGTATCATTTTTTAAAATGTAGTGTTGTATCTGATTTCTAGTATTTTATTATCTTGAAATATATTTTGTCAGATATAAATATGGCTGCACCTGCATTTCTGTGGATGCCAGTTACTTATTGTTCACCTTTTTATTTTAACTCTATTTTTATCTTCGCAGATTAGATGTGTCTCTGGGAGATAACACATGGCTAGGTGTTCTTTTGTTTGTTTGTTTTTTTTGTTTTTGTTTTTTTTTTAATCCTCACCCGAGGATATTTTTCCATTTTTGGTACAGATAAAATGGGAGGGAGAGAAAGGAAGGGAGAGAGAGTGAGAAACATCGACGTGAAGGGACACATCGAGTGGCTGCCACCCGCACGACCAACCAGGGCCGGGGACAAACTGCAACCGAAGTACGAGCCCTTAGCGGGAACCGAACCCGGGTCTCTCCGGACCGCAGGCCGACGCTCTAACCGCTGAGCCAAACTGGCCAGGGCTAGGTGTCCTTTTTGATCCATTCTGTTACTCCATGCCTCTCTATTGGTAAATTCAGTCCATTTACATTTAGGGTGATTACTGATATATGAGGATTTCCTATAGCCATTTTATTGTTTGTTTTCTGTTAGCTCTGTGCCTCCATTGGTTCTTTCCCCCTGTATTTCTATCTGTTGTTTCTGTTTGGTGGTATTCTATAATTGTTTCCTCTGTTTCCTCTTTTATTTTAAGTTGTGTGTTTCAGCTTTGGGTGTGTGTGGGGGTAACCTTTAAGTTTGTTAAAAAGAAAGTTTCGTATATACAGTAGTCCTGTTTCCTTAAAAGTGCTCTTTTAATGGTGTTTTGTAATAACCTGTCCTCTCTGACAGCTGTCAGTTTGTTCAATGTATCCAAATACTTGTTAAGCATCATGGTGTCAGAAAGAATATTGAATTGTGAATAAGAGTGTTAGTGATAAAACATTTCTGAGAATAATATCAAGATCCTTATAATAAAAGGTCAAGAAATAGGAACAAATACTTTTTGCAGGATGAAATAAATATTAAAATAAAATCATGAAAAAATATTTACTGTGTAGTATTAGTAATCAAATAAACATCATGAGATCATTTTTATCTAATAATACAGTGTGTGTGTAGTGTGTAAATACAAAACATAAATTTAATATATTAACTATGTAAGATATATTGTATAGAGATAAGATTAGATGATAGATAGATGATAGATAGATGATAGATAGATAGATAGATAGATAGATAGATAGATAGATAGATAATAGATCTTATGTAAAGCTGTTGAGGCTTCAGGGTTAGTGCTACATTTATTCACTGCTTGTTGCAGAAGACGAATGACATAAACTGGCTTAAGTTTCTTCTGATCTACATGGGACTATGTAGAAAGGGTCATAATTGGAAAATACTATTGGACTCAGTAACCTCATTACTAGAAATGTATTGTAAAAGAAAAAATTAGCAGAAGGAAAAACAAGTTCTAGGCATAAAAACGATGAGTGCAATATTGTCTATAAGAAAAATCTTTAAAATTAAACTAAATGTATAAAAGTAAGAAAATTGTTTAGTAAAACATAAAACAGAATAGTATATATTCATTAAAATGATCATTATAAAACCTTGAGAATTCAAGGGAAAATTTCATACTATGATGTTGCAACTAAGCAAAAATCTTCATGTTTGTGTAGAAAGAGTAGACAAAAGTATGCAAATATAAAAATACTTGTATTGGTGTGGTATAATTTGGACTATCAGCTATTTGTAATGTTTTTTTTTTTTTTTTTTTAGTTTATTATCCATTTAAAAGTTATAGTATATTAAAATAGTTGTGAGACCTTAGATTTATAATGTTACATTGCTAGGACTTGGTTTCTTACACAAATGCTGGTGTTGGACTAGAATTCAGTATTTCTCATCTTTCAGTAGATTTTAAAATCACTCAGGAAAGTTGTTGAAAATGTACATTATTAACTCCATCTCAGAATTTATTGGTAGGTCTGGGTAGAGTCCATAGACCTATATTTTTAAGAAGAACTAATTAAAATTTATATTTAATTCTCTCCTACCTATGGCACTCTGTGTTTAATAGATAAATTGCCCTGGCCGATTTGGCTCAGCAGTTAGAGCATCAGCCCACAGACCAGAGAGTCCCGAATTCAGTTCCCACTAAGGGCATGTACCTCAGTTGCGGTTCATCCCCACGTGGCAACCAATCCATGTGTCTCTCTCACATCAATGTTTCTCTCTCTCTCTCTTCTTCCCTCTCTCCCTTCTGCTCTGTCTGGAGATAATGCAAAAATATCCTTGGATGAGGATTTAAAAAATAGATAAATAACACTTTACTTTTTATTTTCTTTTTTGTTTTACTTTATTCCTTAGCCTGAAGCAAAGTGGATTCACAAGCTGCTTTAAAAAACAACTGGGCGCTTGGTTTCACAGAATGACCTTACCACAGCGAACACTAGCTTCTCTCAAATGGGCATTTCTACTTCTGTGGGACTGTAATAAATAAAAACAAGTCTTCTGTGAGTACTATTGTTATAATGTGTCAGCGAGATAACCAGAGATGCACAGCCAAATTGTAAAGGAGCGTTTTATTCTTGTTGGCAGGCTGCAGAGGGCATAGTCTCCCCTCAGATCAGCAGCCAGGATTCTTCTTGCTCACCCGATTTTAAAGACAGAAGCCCCATCCTCCTTTTGCCCCGCCCCCTCCAGAGGACTGGTACAATAGTGGGAGTGACAGCATTACAGAAGTCAAAATGAGCATTATTCACCTGGGCACAAGTACCTGCAAATGCCTGCAAATACCAGTACTCGGAAGGAAACTGCAAATGCCTCCCAACACGTGGGGCAATATAATCTTAGGCAAAATTCCTTTACTTCTAGGGGTAGTTAACCTATTCTTGGAAAAATACCGAGGAAGGTCCACTGATAAAAATGGGGTCATTTAGTCACCTTTGCCCAGAGGCCTACATAAGAATGGAATCTAGTCGCCATAGCCGTGGGGCCCAGGTCGTTCCCCATTAGTTTTCCTGACAAGTCAAATCATTGACTCAACTTAGTTGTTATGAGGCATTTATTAGACATGGCCCAGAGGCTAGGAGTAAACATAATATAGCGAGAGGGCCGGCAATGGCAGACAATAGAGTTGTAAACCAGTTTTCATATTGTTGCCTTTTTCTTTCTTGTTCCTCAATATTTTTCCTAACTAGTGATAAACTTTCTTGAATAATCCCCAAATTATTCTCATAAAAACAGCATTTTTCTCCCAGTGCAACACATAATCCTCCTTCTTTAAGAAATAAGAGGTCTAATCCTCTCCTGTTCTGTAGGACCATTTCTAAGTTCCCAGTTTCATTGGGGCCCAGGTCTATAAGGATTCCCCTGTACAGTCATTACCAGAAAAATCAGAGTCCCAATAAATGCAAGAGTCTTATCTGGAGAGGCCTGAACCATCCATTTTGCTTTTTTCTCCCTCAACCGGGAATGGTGCTGATAGATGGGGACGCCATTGGTGCAGGCAGGATGACAGTGTATGGTCCCTTCCAGGCTGGAGTTAGTCCCTGGGTGGTGAACTTCTTTACCCACATCGAGTCCCCAGGCTGGAAAGGTTCACTGGGTCCGAGGTGGGCACAGGCAGGGCATCGCAGACATGTTTATGGACAGCTTTTTGGGCAGACTGCAGGGCCTGCAAGAACTGTAAGAGGGCGAGAGGGAGCAGAGTGGTCCAGTTTTCACCGGTTTCTAAAGTAAATTTGGTTAAGGTTTCCTTTAAGGTCCTGTGCATGTGCTCTACCTGCCCGGAACTCTGTGGGGAGCAAGCACAATTGAGTTTTTAATTTATATCTAACCCTTTAGAGATATCCTGTGATCTCTTTGCTATAAAGGCGGGGCCATTGTCTGATCCAAGGGTCAGGAGCAGCCTAAACCTGGTCCTCCCTTTACTACATCCCAGACTGCTATCCCACCACCAGAGACAAGCTCTCCCTCTCTCAGTGTCCTGTTTTCTTTCCTTCTTGATTATTCCTCCAATGTCCTGTCTCCATGTAATATGTATGTCCCTTTCTTTTATTTTCTCTGCATAATCCTTCTCTTTTCATTTCTTGCATAGACCCTCTGCGACTTTCCTAGTCCCTCCCCTGACATGCACCTGAGAGCTCGCTCAGTCCACCTGCCGTCTGCACATCCCCCAGCTTTCCTTCTCCCCCTCCCTACTCAGACCCACACATACCTGCTCCCCTCCGCCTTCTCCCTTTCCCTGGGACCTTACTGGACAGTACCTGCCTCTCAGGAGTTCAGTGCGCTTGGTGTAACCTAAGTGGGTAGTCTGGTGCAGCTGGTTGACTAACGTCTGACCTAGAGCCTCTGGGACCAACAACCTCCCATCAGGCAGTGTCCACCATCCATTGCTTTCCTTTGTGGCTTGTTCCCTGCTTTGCCAAGTCATTTTCTGACCTAGTGTATCTGGAGAGGCCCCACTGGTTTTAGGGCTGCCTCTAAAGCTTTCTGATCCACAGCAGATATTTCTTGCCCCATCGCAGAGCCTGGATCAGGGCTAAGAGTTCAGCCCGTTGGGCTGGAGTTCCCCTATTCAAGGACTGTGACAAGACAACACAGTCCAGAGTTACTCCTGCTACCCCAGCATACCTAATTTCTCCCTGGACATAGCTGCTCCCATCCGTGAACAATACCTCGTCTGATGATGGCAGTGGGACATCCTTGCAGGCCGTCTACACTATGTCAATTACCTCTAGACAGTCCTGCAGAGGTTTCTCCGGGTCATCATCTGGAGGAAGACCAGCAAGACTGATGGCCAATGGCCTGGAGTGGCAGTGGCCAACAATTGAACAATCACTGGAGAAGATCACATTAGAGTAGAGCGTATGGGTACTCCGGCATGATCAGAAACGAATGAGTCACAGTATTTTTCCCAAGGTCTATAGTCCTCTTTGAAGTCCAGGGGTAGGTTAGGGGTCCATTGGCTCTGTCAGGACTGAGCCTGCTGCACCAGTATCTACCAGAAAACTAACTAGTTTGTCCCCTATTGTCTTGTTATTCTTGGCTAGGAGGGCTCAGTTGGAGGGAGCCCTGGCCCTGTCATTTTTTTAAGTTAAAGATTTTACTTTGTTCCTCTGCACCTGACTTTTCCCTTGTCTGTTCTACCCCTAATCGAGACATAGGCCTGTCATCCTGACCCTTCCTAGGGTGATCCTTCCCTGTGGGCCCTGTTTCCCTTAAGGCTGCTACTACCACCTTTGTTATTTCAAACAATTTATTTAGGCCTAACAGAAGAACATGGTGAAAAGTGTCCAAGGAAGCCCTCCCCCCTGCAGTATTTGGGTCCCACCATGGGCAAAGGGATGGGAAAATTTCCTCTGACCCCAGGTTTTCAAAAGGACACAGGAAAGGGAAGCGTCATCATAGGGTGCCTGTTTAGCAGGGCACAGTGTTTTTCAAATCTCCAAGAGCACTTCGTGGCCGCACCTGGGATCCCTATTTTCAACTTCCCAAAGTTCAGAGAAACCTGTTGGAAACTTGCTGCTGCCAAAACCAGGGTGTGGGGGACAGACCAACATCCAGGGCTGGCACCGAAGGAACATGCCCTCTCAGTGACCAGACTGCCCTCCCCGGGAACTCTGTGGCCTCTGTGGCCTCCAGGTGAGTGCCTGTGCACCTGCCCACTGCCTGCCATCCCCATTTCCCAGGACGAGGGGCTCTCCACACCAAACCCCAGTCAAGATGCACAGTGCCATGCAGGACTCACAGGGCGACCCACCAGCAGGGACGCCCCGGAATCACTTATTACTCTGTTACCTGCCTGTAGCAGCTAAGCTACAAAATCTTGACATGGCTCTTCAGGTCTTTGTCTGATGGATATAAGATCTAGTGAATTTTCCCCTTTTTGTTGGGAGCTCTTTCCAGGCCTTCAAAGCACAAAAATTATTCACAGCTGTAGCGGAAGATGGTGGGAGAGTCTTTCAGGACTCATAGCTTTCTCTGCTTTCCTCGGGTCTTTCACTACACCATGCTTCCCCACCTTATTAGCCCCCAGCAGGCACCCCACTGGGGATTTGGCCCACAACCTGGGCATGAGCCCTGACTGAGAATTGAACCGGCCACCTCTTGGTGCATGGGTCGACGCTTAACCTCTGAGCCATACTGGCCAGGCCTTTTGCTGTATCTCTGCCTTGCAGGCACTTCCCTACCTTTGCCCAGGTTTTTCTCGGGGCCCATCACCAGTATTTGTGCCCTAATCAGAACCTTCCTCAAATCCTTCTCTAAGAATGTTTACTATGCAACCCAATGAGGTCTTCTGGGCACTAGGGCTGCTGTCCATGATTAGACTAACCGTAACAAAGTTGAGGGAGACACAGTAGGGAGGCAGACGAGGACAAAAACAAGGGAAGACACACGAGACAGAAACTTTGGCTTCGTCCGCCAGGCCACTCCCCTCGTGGAGATTTCAGATGCCTCTTGGCATGTGGCAGGTTGGAATAAGGCCCCAACTTGGACCAGGTTCGTTGGTGGAACACCAGAGTGCTCCAAGAACCTGATACTGCCTTTTAGCCGTATGAGGGCCATCATGGAACCTCAGGGTAGGACTCACACAGGCTCCATAACAAACGTCGTGGAGCACGGTCAGTCACACACAATTGCATTCACACGATCACGCTCACACACCAATTGAATTTTCTTCCAGAAACTCCCTATCCTGAGCAGCGCCTATGCCACTTGGGAGGTGATCAGTCTCCCTTCCCACCCCAGTGGTTGGTCTGAATGAATAAAATTTGCCAGATTTGAACCAGCATTTGCTAGATTTGAGCCCCATCTAACATCTTAAGGGGATTCCCAGGAGAGGAGAGTTTGCACTGCGTCCGGCCCTCTCACTATCATCCAGATAGACCCGTCACCCAACTCACCTCCGGAGGCTTCTACCAGGTCTCTTTCAATCATTTTGGGGATGTCTTGGCATCTCCCGGCCACTTGTTCGAAACCTAAGTAGGATCTTCAGGGCCCTGGAACCCAGGGGAGGCCTCCCCTCAGATCTATAGGGGTCCGGTGGCCAGACTGGGAGAGGCTGCCCATCCCAGGCATCTAGCCCTTAGTGTAGCAAAACACCAGGGATCTTGCTGGGGCCTTCAAATGTTATAATGTGTCAGCGAGATAACCAGAGACACGCAGCCAAATTGTAAAGGAGCACTTTATTCTCACTGGTGGGCTGCGGAGGGCATAGTCTCCCCTCAGATCAGCAGCCAAGATTCTTCTTGCTCATTTGATTTTAAAGACAGAAGCCCCATCCTCCTTTTGCTCACTCCCACCCCCAGAGGACCTGCACAGTAGTGGGTGTGACAGCGATTATAGAAGTCAAAAGTAGCTTTATTCACCGGACTCACGAGTACCTGCAAATGCCT